ATTTTCTGGCCAGTCTGGTGTCAGTTGAAATGGTGGGTAATGTGCTCAATTTGTTTTGGTCACCTATTAAAAATGGACTGCAGTTTCATTAGTAATATTATCCTTTGCGTCTCATCTCCGCTTCAAATTAAATTTGTTCAAATTCTGCTCTTAGCTTATAGACTTCGCAAATGTTACAACAGAGATCTGCTGAAGATCATTGACTCATGACCATCACTGAGCATTTGCCTGTAGAAACGAGAAGGTTAAAATAAATTGACTATGATACGCGTTTGATGGTTTTCATGACAAATTGGAGCTTTGACATTTAAATAATAGAAGAAAGTGAAAAAGGAATGAGCTGAGCTGTGGCCGAGGAAGTATTCAAAAGAACTAAGTGTAACGATCCTGGTAACCTTAACTGCTTGCTGGGCGAGTGACACTTTTAAACAGGTATCATGCTGATGGGCCATGCACGGTCATGAAGATGAGATGCCGTCTGACAGGTAGGTCTTTCTACGAGGTGGTACATTTTGCTATTCCTCATCTGAGAAGAATATTATGATTAATTCAATCCTTTTCCTTCGTATACCATCTTAATATTTTAAAGATAAAGATGCCTGATTCCTTGCAGCATGTAGGGTTTCATGCTATAGGCCAGCCCTAACTGTTGCCCCACTCTTACAGTTCATATTGTATTGTAACTGAGGGAAGCTTGAACCTTGCAAGTCATAGAATATGACATTTCCGTTGAGTTTGCTGAGAGCTCGTATTTATTTAGTTTGCCAGGTTCAAATTTCCCTTCCATGACTATAAAATATTTACAAAAAATTTATTCTTACCAGTCCATTACCTCTCATAGACCTGTTACTGGTAAAATACCTCTTGCTTCTAGGATTGAGGAGGTTGGGATTGACAGTACCAACCGGTTTGGTTTCTTAATCTGCAAATAACAACGACAAATAGGTCTAAATTGGGTAATTCACTGTATCTCTCCTGAAACCTTCAAACTATGCATTTGTAAGGGGCAGTTCTGTTTCTTTTCTACTGTTTGCAAACAACATGCCATACGCCAGAATTCCCCTTTAAGCCATTAGAAACCAAGGTCTATACTTTGGTGATTACTGTCTCCTGTTTATCTAATTTAGTTGTGTGGACTGTTAGTTCCCAGAAATTAATTACGCAAACTGTAATTGATTTGTTTATGAATAATTGTTTCTATTAAATATAATTGCCTGCATTGATGTACGCTGAATATTAACTTTCTTGCAAATGCACAGAAGCCAAGATGCATTGTTCCCACAGGTCTTAAATCCATTCGACTCACAAACCTATTCATACTGTGTTTCATAATGTAATGTTTACCTGGTGAGCCTGAAACGTGGTGGGTAGAACTTGCAAGCGGGACACTAGTTTCAAATCTTGCCATGATTCTTTTCCCTTACCTTCTGCCGTTGTTAACAATAGCTTATTTACACAAGCGGTGCAATGTATTGACAATGTGTTTATGTCCTGCTGTTATGTATTGTTATATCCTTTGTATGACAATGTAATTATTCTTGGCGTATTAATTTTCATTCCTTTTGTTATTTTTTTCTTATTGTGAAATTATATTTGTGCATGTCGCCCTTCGGGTTGTGACCTCAAAGCCTTACCACTCTTGCCAAAGGATAAAAACAAGAAATGGTAATAATATATCAATATATTACACAAGTGACATGAAAGAAGGTCTGATATCATGAGAAATGACTGTGTTTTGGGAACAGTCATCTTCCCTGTAGAATATAAGCAGTGAGATCAAGCATGTACATTATACAATATGCTTGGAGCGAGATCATTTGTAAAATATATTACTTTTGGCACATGGCTTGTTTTGAAAGTGTTCCACAATGGAAGTTAATATTAAACTCATTTTCATACCGGGGTTAACCCATACAAAGCTCCAAACTGTAACTTGTGTAATATAAGGTGTAATGTATCCTCTCATACTGTAACGTAATAAGGACCTTAAGGGTCATAGAGAAGTTCCATGATCTGTATAAAGGCACTTGGACTGCAGACCTGTGCTTTTGTATGTCCATGGGACAGCTCTACGCAATCCAATACATCTTTTTATGTTACAGTATGGTGTACATTATTCCAGAAATACATTTATCTATAGGTTACATGGGGGGCATTAGCAGAACTGGTACAGAGAACAAAAGCTCAGACAAATGACTGATTAGAATAAACTCACACAGCTTTAACACAAGGATAAGGAACGTTATTTTCAATCTTCTACAAGAATGGAACGGTGCATGCTGGGAAGAAAGAAGACTGGTTTTAAAGAAAAAAGTACCCAATGCAATGGGGATACCCCAGCACTGCAAGGGTTAACTGCTCATTTTGGTCTAGGGGCTAAAATAAAGGAAATATTCTGACCTGATCCTTGGTCCCACTTGGCTGCTAGACTCTTCTTCACGATTCTCCGACGGTCTATGGACCTGTGACTTCCTGCATTAGACCTGAGGACATTGAGAGACATGCCACTGCCAGAGTGTTGAGGGATTGGTGAGCACTCAACTCCACATGACTGAGAATCAGGTGAGTATGTCTTCTTTTTTTAGTCCCTAGACCAAAGCGAACAGCGAACCCTTGCAGTGCGGAGGATAACCTTTCCTAGAGTTCTTCTTTAGGCCTCATTCAAGCGAGAAATGGCCGGCACGTACAGCTCCGTGTAACAATAACTTCGAAACGGACTTATAGCTTGAATACATTATAAGATACTTTTTGACATTTTCTTTTTCACTAGACTTAAGGCCTCATTCACATGAGAAACTGTCGGCTTGTACAGCTCCGTGCTGCGTGCACGGTTGTATCGGGCAGCTCATGGGAAGGACAGGTGCTGCGTATGATTAGTAAGCAGCCCCTGTCCTTCTCTATGGGACTTCATGGCCATACGCCGCCCTACGCTAACCCCAAGTGCAGGTCCGTACGGGTGTCGGTGTCCCGGCTCAGACGCAGACAGGATCCATCCTGTCAGCATACGAGTACGCTCACCCGCACAGCCGTGCAGGGCGGGTGAGCTTAGGGTGGCGTACGGCCGCGTAATCCCATAGAAAAGGACAGGGGCTGCGTACTAATCACACGCAGCACCTGTCCTTCCCAGGAGCTGCCCGATATGGCCGTGCACGCAGCACGGAGCTGTACGTGCCGGCCGTTTCTCGTGTGAATGAGGGCTAAAAGTCTAGTGAAAATTAAAATGCCAAAAAGTATGTTAGAATGAATTCAAGCTATAAATCCGCTTCAAAGTTTTTTTTTATACTTATACGTCCAGAGCCCTTTGAAACCTAAATGCCCAGGCCAAGTCCAGTCCCTCTGACGCCCGTACAACAAATGGAAGGTGCCGGCGTCACTGGGACAGGGAGACACAGACATCAATAAAAAACATTCTAACCTTTTCCCACTTTGCTAAATTGTTTTTGTCAGCCTCACCTTAAAATAACTTCCTGTCTTGACAGGATGTAAGGAGAAATATCCCCATTGGAGCAGAGATTCAGCTACAACTGAATGAATACAGCCTACAGGGCTCAGTTGTGTATCTGATATAGCTGTGGTGCACCAGTGCATCCCACTCGCTTCTCTGGGTATTGTGGGGATTTATTACCTGTTTGTAATGCAGGAGAGGTATACCCAATGCGTATATTGCATAGTGTATCAAAGTTTCGGGGCTCGCAGCCATCAACCAAATTCAAACCGTCTTTGAAAGTTTGAACCTGATTGGCAATTCAGCAAACATAAGCAAGGGGAAGTGCTTCTGGATGCAGACCCACCCCATATGTGAGGAACTCTCTGGAATCTCGCTGAAGTTGCATTGAACATATTTTTTGACTTTAGCACAATTGCAGTGGTTTTTTGAATAGCAATAAAGAGGAACTTTACCCTTATCTTTAAAATTACAACAAATACAGCTTTAGAAAGGCTTAGTAATGACAATATATGAACAGATACTTCTAGATAACGCCCGCTTTTTATTCCTTAAATAGCTTATTTTTCTTTTCCTCCCCATTCTTCTCACAGTGGCCATTTTTACTAAGGGCATATGAGTCCATCTCTCTTTACTTCCTGGAACTCTGGCACATGTGACTAGGACATGTGACCATGCACATCATCTCACAGGAGGAAAATGCCTTTCCCAGAGATCCCGTGAGATTACAGATGAGATTTCCCAGCAAGGCTCTGCTGATGTAAGCTTCCCAGGATGCAACGCTTGGGAGCATTACATCACTATTGCCCAGGAGGACCAGTAAGTGGAAAGACAGTCATTAGAAGTAAAAGAAAAATATGTTTAACTAATGAATGTAAAATGATTAGCATGCAAAGGGGATTTTAGTAAAAGGGGTTAAAGGTCCACTTTAACAGTTCACTGATAGAATTCAGTTGTGATCAGGGCCGGATTTACCCCAAGGCCAACCAAGGCCTGGCCTAGAGGGGAAGCAGGGAGTAGAGGGGCATTAGTGGTGTGGAATCCCTATCTCCCGACGCCTTGGACATGTAGTTCCGGGCGCTGGGCGGGTAGTTGTTTTCTACACTTAGCCCTGCTTTGGGCAGCAGGCCTAAATGTACAGCGGGGAAGCCGCTGCTTGTTCTGTACAAGTGATCTCAGCACTGTCACCGAGATCACTTGTATGCAGCCTGCATACAGGGGGGCGCATTGAGAAGCCTGGCATTGGGGCAGCAGATAGAGAAAATCCGCCCCTGCTTGTGATTGCCCTTTACCTGGCAAATGCCCTGCATCGTACCAAATGGAGCTAAACCAGGTGATATTTTTTATGGCGAATCTCCTGTAAAAAAATAGGATGTCTGATGCTACTCATTACAATAAGCTTTATTGCCTTTGTGCCAGTGTTGCTGATATCCTCAATGCACTCACTTCATCTTTAGTTTAATCAAAACAAAAAACTAAACTAAACTAAAAAAAAAAGGAGAAAAACGAATTCTTAATTGGAACCCTGGCAATGTCTGTCTTTTCTGTTCTGCAGAAATGTTGAAGGAGCTGAACCAGCAGCGTAGAGCGAAAGAGTTTACAGACCTGAAAATTATTGTTGAAGGCAAAGAGTTTGAAGTCCATCAAAATATTCTAGCTTCCTGCAGCTTGTATTTCAAGGACCTGATTAAAAGGTTTGCCTCCCTTCCAGCTGTGATCTGGTCTGTTCTTTTGTAGGGCGCATATGTGTGGCTTTTTTCTTTTTCTTTTTATTATTTCATTTTCTTTTTTTCTTTTCTTCCCATTTCTTGCAGGTCTGCGAAGACTGAATCTCCTTGTCACAGAGCCAGTAGCCATTCTTTCCAGTTTTCTTGAATGTACTCTCAAATCGAAACCCTCAGAGACGTGTAATGCATATGGGAGTGCTTGTGTTTTTATTGTTTTCTGGTCTCCTGGTTCAGCCTCTCTATTATCCATACACAGGCTTCTGCGTTTCATTAAAGTGTACCTGTTGACTTGATACGATGGTGGCAGCCATTTTGTGCAAACTGGTTATGAGCTAGTCATATCACCTTAGCACCTTCAGCGGAATGACTAAGCTGGGTTTGTTAACATGGCACATATCTTTTTATGTATCCTCTAAGGTGCTCTGTAAAACAAAAAGACACCTGCAATCTGATTCTGTTTTTCCTTCCACTAGTCTTTGTGAGCCCCCAGCAATACTTTTAACGTGGCAACACAAACATTTTGTAGGCTAATCCGAATTGCACATTGCTACGCTGCAAATGGCAGTAAAATGGCTCAGATTCATCCTTGCAAATATAAAAAAAGAACAAAATGGCCTCCCGTATGAAGCATGACGTATGTTTGCCTTATATGAACCAATCGGTGCCTTTCTTACATGCTCAAATACGCCCTAGCAACAAGAAAGAGAGTAGCTTATTGGTTGATAGGTGGGTATTAGGGTCTTCTTACATGGGGCCTGTTATGGCAGAGTCATCTATGTGAATAACTGGTCAGCCCGGGAAGATGCCTGGCTCACATCCAGCCAATAATAATTCAGATTCGCCCACAAAATGTTTGTGTTGCAGCGTTAAAAGTATGGCTGGGGACTGACAAAGACCAGGGGAAGGAAAAAAATGTTCTTGTAACCCATGGCAACCAGTCAGATGTAAGGTCATTGTGTACAGAGCACCTTGGGGAATTAAACAACTCTGATTGGTTGCTAAGGGCAACATTAATTTTTGTTGCTTCCATCGCCCTTTGTGAATTTGGCCAATTTAAGTGGAATTAGACCCAACAATCTAATGGCCTCCCAAAAAGGCATGCCAACTGCCAAGGGCGCCAGTGTGCTCATTTAAGCTCTCAACTGAACTTTCAAGCCGAACACATGTGCAGTACCATGGCAACTGCAATCAAAACATAGGCTAAGATGGGGCCTTCCTCAGCTGTAAAAAATAAAAAGATTGTGGTTCTGGTTCAGGTCCTCAAAATAACTAGGCCGTATCCTTCTGAATATTACTTTACCTCAGAGAATGGTTGCCTCCGCCGTGTAACAGGGCAGCAGATACACTGAGAATGTAACACGAGCCTAAAATGACAATATTTACGAGAGGGATGTGTCTCTGTCAGTATCAAACAGATAAATACAGTGCGATATCAGATATTAAAAAGCCCACGGCAACATATGTTTCCCTCCGCCACAGTGTTTCCAAAGTCCTCGGTTAATTGCCTTTCTAGCCAGTCTATAAGATAATTCAGCTGTCAGTAATTTAGAGCTAAGCTTAGCGCAGTGCTGACATATCATCCTAATTGTTTTTTAGCTGAAATACAGTTTGCATCAGAAATCAATTGCACGTTTTCCCTTAATTGAATGTAATATCTGCCTAAATGGAACAGTTTGACAGGAAGATCAGATTGTGCAGTCAGATCACTAATTTTATTAAATATGACAACGTATAATATTTTTCCTGATTTTCTTTTATTATTTTTTAGTTTTGTTTTTCATCCCCGTTTGGCTCATTTTTTTTATTATTAGAGACAGTATTAGGGACAGTTAAAAAATATAGCAAGGGAGGGGAAAAAAAATCACAGTTTTAAACTTAAGTTCCAGAATTTTACAGAACTGTGGATACTTCATACCCTGTTGACATGCTTTTTATTGTGAAGCTGTACAGTTTGATGCCTATGCATTGTAATTATTACTGCAGTGAGTGTTAACGTACCTTCCACTTCTTAGTAGTAGGGCCATTTATTTTCAGCAGGGCCCCAACCCATTAAGGGAACCCATAGTAACTCTTTACCATGCGTTACACTGCCATGTTGGTTTTCCAGTCCACTGTGGTGTGTTGGCAGCCAATTTAAATGAACAGACTGTCTTGTAGCAATGCACATTATGCATTGCAATTACTGCTGTGCGTGTTAACGTACCTTCCACTTCTTAGTGGTAGCCCCATTTATTTTCAGCAGGGCCCCAACGCTGTGAGGGAACCCATAGTAACTCTTTACCATGCGTTGCACCTCCATGTTGGTTTTCCAGTCCACTCTGGTGTGTTGGCAGCCCATTCAAATGAACAAGCTGTCTTAAAGCAATTAAACATTAATGTGTGTTAACTCAATGCACCAGAATGGAAAAGTTTGAATGGGTCTCTTATGTCTTCTGCCATTGATTGACTGGCATGTTGAATATTCAACAGGAGTTCTGTGGTGTGCATGATATTGGACTATATTGGACTAGATTTACTAATGGATATGCCCCTACAGTGGTGCAGTGATCATGAGCAAATAAGCAGGTTGCATGCTCACAGAATTTTTTTTATACCCTGCATGCGGATACGCCAGCACAGGCTATTCCGTTCATATGTGAAATGTACTTACACGTGTGCTTTGCTATAGAATATATACCCCAGCCTACGAATGTACAGCAACATAGCCATGGCGTGCCTAAAATAAAAGTGTGGTTTTTCATTACAGTTTTTGGGTTTATGTAACCTATGTTAGAATTATATATGTTAGTATTTTTAAATGTGCAAACCATGTAAAAAAAACAAAACACATCAAGTGCCCATGGCTATCATCAAAGGAGACTTTAAAAATCCTTAAAGGAGAACTATTAGGAGATTAAAATATACTCTTAACAATCGTTTGAGCCGGCATGTGACACTGAAGCTGTCACACGCCGGCTCTATAGCTGGAGAACTGAGTGATCACATACTGCTGAACAGTGATTCACCGATCCCTTCTCTCCATTCCTCCAGTGCTCATTGGAGGGACAGACAGGGAAGGGGGCGGGCACAGCTGACTCTGGCGTCAGCTGCCAATCAGTCGGGATCTTTCCCGGCTGCGCTCGGCTCTGGGCTGTCAGCAAACAGTGGACAGTAGCCTGTTATATGTTGACTTTGGGTCATAGGAGTACATTAGTAAATGTACTGCTGTGACCCAAAAGAGAACTATAGTAAAAAAAAAAGGTCTGGCTATAGTTCTCTTTTAAGCCTTCCATGAACCATACATGAAGAATCATGTACCATGCATATACAAATCTACGTGCACATGGAATAGAGATTCTATTGATGAATATCTGTTTCTATGCTGCCTTTGTCCTATGACAGCATAGCGTACTTGGGTTTGTCGATACGCCATCTAGTTTGGCGCATGCATGCTTATTCTTTTAGCGAGCGGGTCACATTAGTACATTTTTTTATTGTTAAAGGAGAACTACGGGGAAAGTGTTTTCCCCCATAGTTCTCCTAAGGGTCACAGGAGGACATAAACTAGCGTCCTCCCTTGACCCAAAGCTCAGTGTATCGCGAGCTACAGCTCGCTGTATACTGAGATCGCCACAGCCGGGACGGATCCCGACATTACTGCCGAGATCCACCCAGCTGCGTGAGTGACAGCTGGCTCTGCCTATCTAGAGGGTTTGTTGACATGCCATCTAGCTTGGAGCATGCATGTTTAATCCCTTTCCGAGCCAGTTCATTCATTTTTTTTAGAAAATTTTAATTTGCAAATTCGCATAGTTTACCTTCTTGTTCTAGAAGGTACAAAATCAGCATCATTTAGGTTTTCCAGGCACATGGCAAACAAGTTGTAGCATACACACTGAACATCAGCACATGATATGAGAGTTACGTTCAGGGACCGCTATGTGCATAGGCATCCGCTGTCGCATGCGCATCCATGACACAAGTGTGCCATAACCATTTGATCCCTTCTGTGGTCCATTTGCTTTAGTAAACCAGTCCTGTTGTCCCCTTCTGACACCAATTATCTTCAGTACTGGTAAGTTACTGAAACTTTTACATGTATATTTGTAATTTGCTTTGCTAGCTGTTGTCTACAAGCCAACTTGCAAGATTCAGTGTTCTGTTAAAGTGACTTTGTCATGAGAAAAATATAAGGGCTGCCACTGCTGGACCTCTTTTGAAAACATTAGAAGCGGTCAGTAATGGCAGTCCATTGTCGCAAAAGTACCATTTGGGAACGAAAGCCACAGAGTAGCAAACCCAATGAGGAAACATTTCTTTGGGTAGCGCCTATTTCTATTAACCTCCAATAAATTAATCTTCGTGCATTCTTTGCTTTGCAGCCTGAGCCCCGAGCAAATTCCCAGAGCAGGAGTGCGCTAGCTGTTGGAGTCGTCATTTCACTCTCTTTTTTTTTGCTTGCTTGCTATGAGATTTACCTAATTTTGCCGGAAATACTGAATACTGTCCAAACTAACACTGCTGCAGTGACATTTTCCTTTCAGGGCGTTGATGGGACTGGTTCTATTTTGTTGCTCATTTTTTTTTTTGTATCGTTTCTGCCAAGAGTTTGTGTTTTATCCTGTAACGTAACATGATGACTTGCATGCCGTATTGACTGTTCAGCACTAATGTGCGTCTTTCGGCCAGGAGTACTGAAGTAGATCTACCACGAGGAACCTAAGGTCTTTAAAGCTGAACTCCAAATATTAAAAAGAAACACAATTTTAAAAATGATTAAATGTACTTTAAATGAATAGAGTTTAAGTATCTGAATCGGCCATTTGCCATCCTCCAGACCAGGCGGGAGGCCAGTACTCTAAGCCAATATGGCTCTGCTGTATGTGCATTGACTGGCAAAGGAACATGCTAATAGAAGGAGAGATAAATGTATCAACCTGATGATGCTGTTTCATGTCCAATCACAGACTGTGGGGCAGGAAGTTGGC